TCTGAGAATTGCTGAACTCTTTCCTCCGTTGCATTTCTTTTTTCCTGATTTGTAGCAGAAACAGTCTGATATTAACAATAACTCAAAAAAAAAAAACAATCAAATAAAAAAATATGCGCGTATCGCATTTGTTTCGCTAGTTTATGTTTGTATGTATATACATACATTAGGGTGGTCCTTAACAAATCAAATGAACTCGCCCCCTCAATCTGTAATACCACGGTCACAGATATCACATATAAATTTTGGTCCCGATTGGAGACGGTTAAGGCCTGTCGCAAAGGGGTCAGAGTATATATATTTTTTTCATTCAATACCCAACATCGATACGACTAAAGTCGAGGATATTACTTATAAATTTTGGTCCCCATTGGAGTCGATTAAGACGTCTTCATAGGCTAGTATGAACTTTGACCCCTGTGCGACACGCCTTAACCGTCTCCAATCGGGATCAAAAATTATATGTGATATCTTCGACTATCGTAGCATCGACGTAGGGGTTGAAGCTTAGCAAATCAGATGCAAAAATTTTCCTCTTACACTTAAGGACCACCCTAATATACATATAACGTAGGGTTTCATATTTAAATTTCTTTTGCTGAGGACAAAGATAAACAAAACCGAGAATTTGAATTGATTGGAGCAAAGTGTGAAAGATGAAATAGCGGCAGATATGAAACAAGTTGAAGAAGTTGAGAAGTTGAAGAGGCGAAAATTGGGCAACTTGGCGCTGAAGTAAACATAGAAAAGACACAAAAGCGCTATTTCAATTTAAATAAATAATCTTAAAATATTTACTTTTAATTTTTCGGGGGAAAATGGATTTTTTTTTTTGATATTTTAATAGGGTATACAAGGTTTTGTTTACAAAACAAGCAACTGAGTCAGAATAAAAATATTTAAAGTGGGAAAAGTACGCGAAAATTAATATAAACAATATTGATTTGCACACATAAATATGTTCATTAGGATGCATCACTCTCCATGAAAAATCCGTATTGTTTTTTTCATCGGAAATATAAAATTTATTATGTTCTAAGACTGCCGCTAAAATATTACGGATAAATATTAAGCTCCAAAATAGGAGTTTTTATAAATAAAATAAAAAAATAAATAATATAAAAAACACTTTTTAATACACAACGCTTTTATAAATGGACTAAAAAGTAGAAAATAATAATTCTCAGTCCCATAGAATTTGTTTTGATAACTTTTGATTTTGAAATTTTAGCAAAAGTCATTATAAACAATCTATGGAATTGAAAATGAAAAACGTGGAGCGCATGCTTTTTCTACTTTTTAGTCCTGTCTGAATAAAATTTTGCAATAGATATTAAAATAATTCAACGATAATAATAGAAAGGTGCACACACATGCATTTACATATGTATGTACATACAAACGAGCACCAATTAATTTTATTTAAAGAAATGGCGTGTCGTCTATTTCCGCTGTAGCAAACGTAGTACATAGGGCGACATCTAGATGTCATGTACCTCGCCCTATTCACTACAGATGTCGCCCTATGCACTATGCTTTTTTATAGGAACTTTTCAAAGCAAAGCCTTATGGCGTCGGACACACAACATTGAAAGTTTCTGGATCCACAACATTGAAAGTTTCTGGACACACAACATTGCAAGTTAATAAAAGCGTTGAAAAAATGTATAAAAATCGTATCAACGGAATCAAAATAATCGAGGTTTTTCGCGTTTTTTTTTCAAATCGGTCCAGCTTACGTAAATCACAATTTTTTGCCGAAATATTTTGGCGGATGTCTTCAAATATAATAAGTTGTATACTTCCGGTGGAAAAACCGTAACTATTTTCGGTGATGTACCCTAATGTACCTACATACATACTTATGTATGTATGCAAGCATGTTTGCACAAAAACATTTGCGTCCAAAAATTCTTTCACAAAAGCGTAATTGCTTTTGTATTTGAAGCTCTTTCTATTATTTTTTAAAGATATTTTATGCACATTTTTAATGTACATTCATACTTATTATTTTTGCTTCTCTTTTATAGCGCTGGTTCGATGGGTATGTCTCAGATGAGTCATGAAAGTCAGGCTAGAATGAAGCAGCATAACGCGCAACAGCATCATCATCATCATCATCACCAGCAGCAACAACAACAACAACAACAATTGAAAGCCAGCAAAGATGCAAATTTAGGTGAGTCGAACAAAAAACCAAACTTAACAACTTTTCCGATAGGCGCAATCGAGGATCTGAGGATCTTAAGATATATAGAGGACTTTCAAAAAAAAACTACCAAACGGATCTCAGATTCGGATTCAGCGGGTCGAAATACATGTCGGTAGGTGGGTCCGGTTAAATGCACAGATACCTGGTTTTTTTCTGTGGCGGTGATTCGCAGTACCGCATCCTCTTAACCCAGTTTTTCAAGACCTCGGTGACGGCTTCTGGCTCTATCTCACGAATGGCTAGTTAGATATTCACCTTAAGGGCTTACTAAGTATTGGGGGTAAGCCACCACTCAGTCCGACTGATCTAGATCTAGATCTCTGTATCCATAAAAGTCCCAAGTGTTGTAGGAAAAGCTCGTGAACGGCAGACGGCGATCATTCATTGAAGTTTGGTAAGAATATTTCACAGGCTATTCTGTGGATTCCTGTGTCAGATCCCACGTTTTGTCAGAACGTGGATAAAGCTTTGGTTTGTTGTTCAACGTGCTCCTACATGTACATTGCATTTCTGCAGAAATCTGAATAGTGACTCCTTTAAGGATAGGGTGAACAAGGCCATTCAACTTTCTGCTTCTAGCTCAGGGCCAACTCCAGCTTTTGGCATATGCAGCAGTAACACAACTCCCTGCTCTACCGGCTTAACTGATCCACGAAGAGTTTAGTAGAGTTGATATATCGAAGCGATATTTATACCTACTTACATATATGTATGTATGTGGTCTTGTTCACATATTCGTCACAAATATGTATTTCTTTATCAATATGTATGTATATATATGTAATGTATGTATTTCCAAACATAAAATGGGTATATTCCCCTTTCGAGTAAAACACTCAGCGCCTCTTCGTAAATCCATCAACGCTTGCATTTAACGCGATTCATAATTAATTTTATCCTCTCTTTTTTTT